TTTTGACTTCGCTCGCAATTTGCGAGGCACAGAGAGATTTTTTACTAAGGTATTTCTAAGATAGATAGATCGGCATCATTCTTAGCTACAAAAAGATATGTATTTCATCCCTGTAGCCTCGATATTCGTAGCGATCGCTCGGTTTAAAGAAAAACAATTGTAAAAAACTGTGCAAAAATCTGTAAATAATCATTGAATATTTATGAATAATCATTGAATAATCGTGAATAATTATTGAATAATCACAAATAATCGTCAAATAATTGTTGAATAATCGTTGAATAATCGTCAAATAATCGTTGAATAATCGTCAAATAATTGTTAAATAATCGTAAATAATTATTGAATAATCGTGAATAATCATCGAATAATTACGAATAATCGTTAAATAATTGTCGAATAATCACTGAATAATCATTGAATAATTATCGAATAATCGTGAATAATTAACGATTATTCGCGATTATTCGTCAATTATTCGTGACGATTAATCGAGTCTAAATATTAAGACGATTCCTAACCCTATGCATAAGTAAGATTTGGCGTTATAGAAATATTGTTGATTTTGAAAGTATAAAATTTCCGGCAACACTACATGATGTTGATAAATTCGAGGAAAATAATTCAAACTATGCTATAAATATATTTAGACCAGTGTATAAAGAAATATTCAGAAAAATAAAAGTAGATATAGATCCATTACATATCTCTGAAAAAAATTATCAAGTAGAGCATATGATAGATTTGCTATATTTAACAGAAGGTGAAGAGAGTTTAAACGATCGAAAAAATCCTAACGATATACCAGAAGGATTAAAAACACATTATGTATATATAACAGATTTTACACGATTGATGCATAAATGGAATAAACATCACGGAAAAAAATATTTCTGTCAAAAATGCTTATAATTTCCTTATAGTTGATTAGATTTATTAGAAAAGCATATTCCAACATGTCCAGGACCTACATCAGGAAATTTAATTAGGCGTCGATTTACGGAATATCACATGACCTCCGGAAATTTCCACCTGAAAAATTTGA